ACTTCGTACTAACTAGTTTGTTACAAGAAATTTAATGGTGCTATTTCTTTTGTATTCGGTGTATTATTTAATGACGAAATTGACAATTATTGATTATTACGCCATTTTTTTGTGATAAACATACAACGATATATGCACAACAGAAATTAAATGATGTGATGAAAATGTGTTATAACGGCGCGTAGAAAGAACAACAATAAAATGGACCTACAATATTATTGAATATTTGCAAATAGTAACTATGGAGACGAGGTAATAAAATAAAAATCAAGTCGACAACAACAACAAAATTTTATAAACGAAAACATCTCGCTGAACGTTGGCTATTATATTATTTCCCTATCAATGTTCCCATCTTCATTAAAAGGCAATAAACATACAAACATAAGCACGTTTTACACATAAAAAGCGTTATGGCGGGAGACAGTCAGACCTTGCTGTCAATTCAGTATTTCCAAAAATAGTTTCTTTAAATAGTGCTAAGTGATTAAGTAACTTTTTGAATTGCAAATTACTGTTTAGTAATACGAATGATTATGCCACCCAAGAAACACCCTTTCTATGGAAAATCTTCTGACGCTTAAGAATGCAAGCAGCTCAAACAGAAGAAGAACGCAATCAAAGACTTCAAGCACAAACTGCAAGACAGGCTGCTCAAATACAGGAAGAGAATTTGGAACAACGTAAAGTTAGACTTCGAGCTTAAGCTGAAAGGCAGGCTACTCAAAGACAGCTAGAAACTGTTGAACAGCACAAAGCCAGAGTTCAATCAAAATCATCAAGGCAAGCTGGATATAGACAACAAGAAACTTCTGAACAACGTCAAACCAGACTTCAAGCACAAAAATCAAGACAACTAACTTACAGAGAGCAAGAAACAGAGGAGCATCATGATGTACGACTTCAGGCTCAAAGAACAAGACAAGCTCAAACACGATCTAATTTCAAATAAAGCTTTGTTTGATTAAATGTTTTTTTATTTCTCGCATCACAGCTTTTGTTTACTTACTGAATAATTTCCTGAAAAAAAGATACTGATCTATACATTTCAAATCTAAATTTTCACAGTGCAACGCCGGGTAACTCAGCTAGTAACATATATTTAATGACCAATTGTTTGTATTTTAGGTCTCATGAATCCCTAGTAATTAACAAGTGGAACAAAACCCTGTGTGTGGCTATTATAAATAACATATACTTAATGATCAATTGTCTGGATTTTATGTCTCATGAATGTCATCAGATGCCTGACTTACTTGACAGTGAACTGAGAAGGGGATTGATATCATTTTGGAACAGTGTTTCAATAATGTCGTAAAAATAATATTACATATATGTAATATTTTTGAATGTTGTGTGCCCTATGTAACATATATATATATATTACATATATCTAATATTTTTGAATGTTGTGTGCCCTATGTAACATATATATATATATTACATATATCTAATATTTTTGAATGTTTTGTGCCCTATGTAACATATATCTTTGCTGGTCGTTAACTACCTTCTATGCTGCAGAAACTGGGTTTATTTTTTAATGGACCTGGACATAACTACAAAGAAAAAAGCATGATAATCTTCAATTGGAAACGTATGTAATCATGACCAATACATTTTGCTTCTTAAAAGTAAACGTGAAGCTCATTGCACCATTTTTCACTACGTTATACCGGTTTAGGTATAACTTACTCATCTTTTAAAGTCTAGATGTCGTCAACATCAAGACACGTTCATTTTATTTCGAGAATAATGAAACGACAATCATAAACTACCACTGTTTTAGTTATATTTGGATGTCACTAATATATATATGGTAAGTTCCCTCTTATTTGGATTAGAATAAAACAACAGTCTGAACATGCTCTGCTTTAGTTGACCTAACCACATTACGACATGCTTTCTTTAAGTTGAAATAGCATGAAACTGCAATCAATACATTTTAAATTTACACGAAGTAGAATGGAACCGCATTTAAGATACGTTCATAACTGATAAAGTAAACAAAAGTCATACCTAAACTTAGAGCAAGGGTGGATGACCCAATGACCTGCAGCCTTCTGACGTATTCTTTCCTTCATTAGAGCTTTCTTGCTACCAAATAGTTTCATAGCCAGCTTGTTGTCAGATGGTTGGAATAAAGCCTGTAGCTGGACTCGCATAAAGGAAGACTTTACGTCTGTAAACGTTGGACCTACTTCTTCCTTGGGAGTTCCATAAAGACTGACGTCATCCTTTTCTCCGGCCCCCTCACGAGGAACGGCATTGGGAAGAGGACGATCATCTTTGTAATTAATATCAGAGGTAATGTAATCATTGACTAGAGTTTCATCATCGGTAGCAGTCACGAGGGAGTCCGTGCACGTGTTAGTGTTTTCCATACTGATTTTAATCGAGTCCTCCTTATGAAGGCTTCGCGGTGAACGGATATCTTCCTCCGAAGGTGCCCCATGGCTGACACGACCGTTTGCTAGTCGTAGACTTGGAACCCGCTCTCCTCTCCTAGCCTTGATGCTAAAGTTGGAGTCCATGCCCGCCACCTTCACCTCGGAACCCCTGCAATAATCCAAATGAACCAGAGTTATACCGCTCGAAAAAGTTCAGCAGTTTTGTGTTCATTATACGATATATGAGTTATCATTCGGGAATGAGATGATTAGATTTATTTAGGCGGGTCACAACATAATTCATTTTGAAAAAAGACATTTAACATAAGATTATATACTGTTACTTCAGAAAGTTAAAGAGGGAGTCGCAGCTTAGAAAGTAATCTACGTGTAGGAGTACTGATCGGTGAAACAATTTTAATCTACCAGAAAATCCTTCCGTGGGTATTACGCTATTGTTACATAGCTCTCCGGGTATTACACTATTGTTACATAGCTCTCCGGGTATTACGCTATTGTTACATAGCTCTCCTGCATAGGCGTGATTAATGAACTATGATATAGGAAGTCAAAAAATGAATGAATATAAAGCGCTCTCTCCCTATCATGGAAATACTATTACTGTCTTTCTTTTGTATGTTATTTGAGTATATTATGTTTCTGTTTATATTATTTGCGCAAGGGAATAAAGCTTTCGTTATAACACGTTGAACACGAACTAATATTCTGAAATTTAAGGTGATTACTGATACGATAAATTAGAAGTTTCACTGAAACAATAATACAATAGAGAATATTAACAAGATATGAATCGAATGATGTAGCTTGTTCATTACAATACACAATAATATAATGGAGAAGATTAACAAGATTGAATAGAATGATGTAGCTAGTTCATTACAACACACAATAATATAATGGAGAAGATTAACAATATATGAATCGAATGATGTAGCTTGTTCATTACAATACACAATAATATAATGGAGAAGATTAACAATATATGAATCGAATGATGTAGCTTGTTCATTACAATACACAATAATATAATGGAGAAGATTAACGAGATATGAATAGAATGATGTAGCTTGTTCATTACAATACACAATAATATAATGGAGAAGATTAACAAGATATGAATAGAATGATGTAGCTAGTTCATTACAACACACAATAATATAATGGAGAAGATTAACAATATATGAATCGAATGATGTAGCTAGTTCATTGCAATACAAAGAAGTGTCATAATGAGCTTTATCATACAGTAAAAACTTAATCTATTTTATATTAGAAGACTTTTAAAACGAATAGGCTGTCTGGATTGTATGTAGGAGTGGACGGTGTTTCGATTTCTCTCATATGGCTTCAATAAAGACACTTCCACTCTTACAATTCAGGCTGTGTGGATTGTGTGTAGCAGTGGACGGTGTTTCGATTTCTCTCATATGGCTTCAATAAAGACACTTCCACTCTTACAATCCAGGCTGTGTGGATTGTATGTAGGAGTGGACGGTGTTTCGGTTTCTCTCATATGGCTTCAATAAAGACACTTCCACTCTTACAATCCAGGCTGTGTGGATTGTGTGTAGCAATGGACGGTGTTTCGGTTTCTCTCATATGGCTTCAATAAAGACACTTCCACTCTTACAATCCCAGTGTTTCGGTTTCTCTGATATGGATTCAATAAAGACACTTCATCTCTTACAATCAAAATGTTTCGGTTTCTCTGAGATGGTACGTACACAATAAATGTTTTAAAATAATATTGCCTCCAGTCTAAAAATTAAATAAAATAAATATATTTGTTTAATAATTTACTGTATAGAGATATAACCTGTGGGAATAGGAACAGTCTTATACATTTCTATTCTTACAATCCTGGCAGTTGAAACCTTCAATACCTGTAGTTACCAAAAACAAAACTGTTATTCTTGTTACCCTTTCATTCAAACACAGTCCTCCTGTTTTTAATTCCTTCATTTATTCTTCTTTTTTAATATTTTCTCTTATTGTTCCATTTTTTATTTGAATACGATTATAGTTGCTTTCTGTATTCCAGCACATCTCAATTCTTTATTTAAACACCTCTTGTTGTGTTCTTAAATTGAACACACTTGTATTTAAGGTTAAAACGACACTCGAGTGAACTTTAAACAACACGGGTGTTAATAATGAAACATAAGGTTTAATGGTACGTACACAATAAATGTTTTAAAATAAGACTGCTGCCAGTCTAAAAAAATCAATAAAATATTGGTTTAATAATTTACTGTATAGAGATATAACCTGTGGGAATAGGAACAGTCTTATACACTCTATAACGTTGTTTCATTATTCATTAAACTACCTGTGGAAAAAGCCGTTGCATGTTTTGAGAATAAACTAAAATAAAATAATTTAAATGATTACTCTGTTGAAACACGGATTAAAAATTCATTTTTTCCAACTAGAGTAAAGTTTATAAACAGGAAGAAGGTTTGATATGGGTTTTCCATTGTCTCTGTTATTTGTGATTTATTCATAGAGACTTTTAAAACTGAAGCCTTAAATAAAGCAGAAAAGAAATCGGAAATCTGATTAAGGAATAATGGTGACACGTTTTTGATATTACAGCATGGTAAAAAGAATTTAACTGATTTTCATAATTACCTTAATAACATGACAGTTCTATTAAATGTACACACGAGGTTATGGATGTTTTAGTAAATAAAAATATGGGTAAAGTGGAAACTGTTACTTATAGAAAACCATTCGCGGTAATTATTAAAAATCATGTCATACTATAAATCTTAAAAACATCAATATTTCTTATTCTTATCAACAATAGGAAAACTATTATTTCAGCACAAACTACGAGCATAAATAGAGCATTTTAAAGTTAACTTCATATGTAAATTTGATCATGTGGTTTTTAAGTAAATTATATAGAGGTTTTAACTCTTGCAAAACATTGCACTCCTGATGATGACAAAATAAAAGATCGTTATTATTATTATAATCAGGGTTATTTTGATTGGTCAGTTTCATTCGAGTCGTGCAACGAGAAAAAACAACAACAAAAAACAAACAGGTTCTAATTTAGCAAACGAAAATTTCTCAAAGCGACATCGCTTGTATCGTCTGTTACTGGTGTCGATATTCCTATTTGATTGCAGTATTTCTAAAGTATTCGTTCGCGTTATTCGTGTTATATTTTATTTAAACACATTTCTAGTTTTATGTCTTATTTAAACACATTTGTAGTTGTTATATTTTATTTAAACATATTTGTAGTTCTTATATTTTATTTAAACATATTTGCAGTTGTTATATTTCATTTAAACACACTTGTAGTTGTTCTTTTTTATTTAAACACATTTGTAGTTATTTTATATTTAAACACATTTCTAGTTTTTATGTCTTATTTAAACACATTTGTAGTTGTTATATTTTATTTAAACACATTCGTAGTTGTTAAATTTTATTTAAACACATTGGTAGTTGTTAAATTTTATTTAAACACATTCGTAGTTGTTAAATTTTATTTAAACTACATTTGTAGTTCTTATATTTTATTTAAACTATA